GCACAGCGGCAGCTTCGGCTCCTCCTGCGGCCGGTGTCACAGAGCTGTCACCGCGACGGCCTCGGCCCCGCGATCCAGGCGGTCCCCGAGGAAGGGCGAGGTTCGGAATAGAACCTGCCAACACAACTTCCCCCTGTGCGGAGCTCACGCCTGCAGGAAGAGGAGCCTTGGATGAAGCGAGGGCTTTGCTCTGGGGCGGTTTTGGGGGTGGAAGCCCATCGGGCATTAGAGTAACCCTCTGCAACCAGCTCCCAAGCTGAAAGCTCAGGAGATGGGGATGAGCCAAGTGCTCCGTGGTTTGGCTGCATTTATGGTCACAGCACATGGATGAGCATCTCCAAGCCCCTTTTAGAGGCAGAACAAGCGCCCTGGGTGCGGAGCGCTGGCCCCACACGTGCCCACGCTCTCTGCGGGCTCCTCATCCCCACGCGTGGGACCTGGCGAGTCTCCCGGACACGCCGCGTGTTGCAGCCTGTTTCAGGGCTCCTGCACCCTGGGTTTGGTGCGGAGAAGTCGCCCTCCTTTAGAGGGCATTCGTGTCCCAGGAATGTGCCGCACGCGGGCTGTGCCCGGAGCTGCAGTGCAAGGCAGTGTCTAGCAGAGGTCAGCAGCGCGTGGAGACCCTTCCTAGGGATGTGAAGAGAGCTGTGTTTTGGGCTGAGCTCAGGCAGGTGCAAAGCTGTTCCCAAACCGTTCTGATTTCTCAAAGTTGTCCTGTCAACCTGCTAAAAACCAGCAGTTGTTACCTTCTGCAAAGAAGTCTGAACTCTGCTGTAGATTATTTGTCAACCCTCTGATGAGGGTTGAGAAGGGACAGAAATACATGGCAGAGAAGGGAAAGGAGGACAGAAAAACAAACACAAGTCAATGACAGAAGCCCACCAACACCAGTGGGGCCCTGATCCTGTGCTTCAGTGCACGGACAAGGCCTCCTTCCAGTGTCCTGCCCTTTTCCCCTCACTGATTCCTGCAGGTCTCCGCAGTGGAGGAGCTCTGTCCTCGCTGAGGGCTGCTTGATCTCCCCGCGTGTCCCCTCGGCCTGTCCCAACGCTGCCCTGCAGCGGCCCTGGAGCAGCAGAGCATCCTGTGAATCAGAGCTGCCCCACTGAGCCTACCGGCTCCGACATATGGCTGGGGAAAGCAGCCAGGGGCTGCGAGCGCATGGAAAAGCCGGTCCCCCGCTGCCCAGCGGGCCTGGCAGGCACCAGCCCCCTGCACTGCTCGAGTGCCCGAAGCACCAGGAGAAGCCGAGATGCAGGGGGCAGCGAGACTGATGCTTGACTGCTCCGCCGCGCACAGCAGGGCACAAACAACGGTCCCCCGGTGCCTTTCTTGCTGGCATTTTAGGTGCCAGACTTCCAAGGGGAAGATCTGTAGCATTAAGGAAAGCCCTGCCGCGAGGTCCCAAATTGCAGTGTCTGCTGCTTCAAAGCAATCCCAGGCAATACAAGAAAGGCCCCTTGGAGCTCAGTAGCAGACAGAAATGACAACTTCCCACGCAGGAGCAGGCACACTGAAAACAGCACTTCCTTCCCTTCCACCAGTAGCGAAACCCTTCAGCCTCCATTTAATGTAAAACACATTCTTAAATCTCTGGCTCTTCAGTGTGTCCTGTGTGCTTAAACTGAACTTTGGGCAGCTTCAGAAATGCTCTGCTTAATCGACACTTATTTAAAGGCAGAAATGCGTTCGCTGACTAACAAGAACTTTATCTTTGCAGTATGGCTGTGGAATCAAGGGCTGACCTTCCTGGGAGCGTGCAGGTGTTTGCAGCCAGGCAAAGGAAAACCAAAGGAAAAGGTTCCCCTCTCTCCTCCTTGTCACTGCTGAACAGCAGAAGGGGTAACTTCAGCCCAGGAGCTGGCTCTGTTTCCCCCAGGCTTCACCCAGTTGTTTCTCCCTCTTCCTCCTCCTCCCCTGAACTGTTTTTTGGGCCTGGTGCCACAACACCTGCTCTCCACAGAGTTTGGGTGATGGGGAATTGAGCTGAAATCACGTCAGGGCAGTGGAGGTGACTGGCTGCCTGCAAAGCTGCTGCTCTGCTGTCCCAGCTCGTCAAAGGGTCCCTCTCCCCAAAACCAGCCTGCCTGCGTGTGCAGTTCAGTCTTTGGAGGAGCTGAAGGGAACACAGAACACACAGCAACTTGTTCCAGTTGCAGCTCAGGCATAAAATAAATAAATAAATACCAGGGCCAGACATATGTACTTGTTGATCAGAAGGAGTAGGAATGCAGCTTCTTCATGGATGAATGTGGTTAATTAAAGTACCTGCCTTCAGAGCACACCCAGG